TTTATCACTTTTTTTAGCTCAATTCAGCAATTTATTCAGATCTATTCAGCACTTTATTCATCTTAATTAAGCATTTTATTCAGCACAATTCAGCATTTTATTCAGCTCAATTCAGCATCAAATCAAACTTAATGTTACATTAGAACTTTAAAACCGCAACTAATCAAGAAGAACAGAAACAAAATTTTATTTAATAGCACCATTAAGATCAGACTTGACTAGATTACACAATTTATTATGAATTCAAATAAACTTCCATTAAAATTCAATTAATCAACCTGACACGTTTATCTAAATTGCATAATTTGTATTCGCCAAGTAGCTTCTTCTTCTACCTTTTTGATATTATTTTATATTAATAATTTTCAAATCAAAATTCAAAATAAAATTTATATTTGACTCTTCTTTACATCTCATGAATATATTGAAATTAAATTCTTCTTTATATTTGAACCGGTCGGTTAGACATTGATGCAATAAATTTATTTCATATCTCAATAAATTCATAAATGAATCGTATAACATAAATTTAAAAATAAAAATTAATCCAAAGTCAAGCGAAAAGGAGAGTTTTTAATGCAAATGTGCTCACAGCAACTTTGAACTTCTTTGATATGATGTGATGTCATTGGAACTAAAATGGGTGATAAATCATAAAGAAAAAAGATTGCAGAAATTTTTCGTTTGAATTGTTAATGGGAAATTCCAATGAATAGAGTGCATTAATGCTGTTTATGAGCGCGCAAATGGGTTTTGGCGTTGATGATGGATTGGATTTATTGTGGGAAGATGTAAAGGTCAGTTTTGGAATTTTAGATGGATACTTTTGGACATTTAGCGCATTTGAAGGATTTGTTTTGAATTATTCAGCTAAGTTCAGCATATATCAATTTTATTCAGCACAATTGAGCGCAATTCAGCTTCAATTATGCTGCAAATCAGTTTATATTCAGCTCAATTCAGCTTAATTCAGCTTCAATTCAGTGTTAATTCAGCTTCAATTCAGTTGCAATTCAGCTTCAATTCAGCTTTAATTCAGTTGCAATTCAGCTTAAGTCAGCACAATTCAGCTCAATTCAGCTGCAATATAGTTGCAATTCAGCTTAATTTAGCACAATTTCAGTCCATTTTACTCAACAGCTCACTGATCTATCACTGCAACTCAATAGCTGCCTCCCTCTCCCTCTTTTCAACTCTACAATTATCAACGATAACTCAACTTTCCTTTCATCTTTCTCCTTCGTCTCATTTAACGATCCAACAACTTAAACATGCATGACATTCCATCTAATTTTCCTTACTTGTCGTCTGCTGTATATTTATATGATGATAATAACAATAAATTTCAATAGCACCCATCAAATTGACTGAATGTATAGCGTTTACAACAATTTATTATCAGGCAATTGCAATTATATTTTATGACGCTTATTTACAATCATTTTATGCAGAAAAGTAAATCTAAACAAGACAACGAAGTGGGAAACTCATTTTTATGGAAACTGAAGGCAGTATGCTTCTAATATGTTGTGTCATTATGCGACTACGTATGGATGAAGTCATGTGAGTGACTTTTGAATAATTTCGTCGTAAATTTTATTTTTTTTTGGGTTTTTGGTATGGACAATTTTGAAGTTGGAAATATTTTTTTGGAGGGTTATAAAAATTAAGTGTCAATAAATGCATGGAAGTGATTTAAGAATGGTTAAATTAATTACTGTTGCTTAATGATGATGGGAAATTTTAATTAAAATAAACGGTATCGCATGGACTGAATTGGGGGTTAAAATTTACAAAATATGACAAAAATCAATAAAGGTGACTTCCCCCACCCTTTCCTGCTCACACACAAAATCTCAAAATCTCCAAGCTCCCCAATTGCTCTTCACAACATCCATTTTCCCTTAAAACCATTAAACCACTTAAACAACAAAAAAGATCATCATCAAGTTGCATATCCACAAACAAGCGATCAATTAACTGTCTTTTATTTCTTTATACACACATTAATTGCAAACTGCCGCTGCCGTCAGCTGCCACTTCTGTTCACATAAAAGTAATATAAGAATTTTTTCAATGCCATATCTCGAGCGATCTTGTATCTTATTAGCGCAAAAGATAAATAGTAAATTTCCTTTGTTGCCTGTATCATGGGTGGTGCGGCAATGAGTCACTTAATTTCTTTGTAAATTCGTTACTTTTTGGAACAGCAAAATTTTGGTTAAAAGAATAGATTTTCCTGTGTACAATAAGTGCTGTGCATTAAGATATGTTAAAAGATATGGAAGTAGAAGTTTTTTAAGGTTCAACGAGTAAATAAGAAGAAAATTAGAGACTGTAAAAGAGTTTTAAGTGATGCTTAAGTACATAAATTAAAGGAAGGAAGTTGGACAAATTATTTTTTTCTACTTGAGAGTTCAAAGCACAATTTAGAGTTGAGTGTTTTTAATGACTGCGACATGAAGAGATTTTTGAAGTGCTGTGGCTGTGCGTGTGAATATTTTTTGAATTGGTCAGGAAGAGGTCAATTTTTAAGATTTGTGTGGGATGGAGTGGTTCGGATTCCAGTATAAACTGTAGGTCTAAAGGATGTGGTATAATAGATTCTGTTCTAATTTGAGTCGCAGTGCCTCTAGCTCAAAAGGCTGAGCAATCTCCATACTTTACCCTTTTTGAGATGGGTGCAGGTGAAAAAGGGGTATTGAGATCTTGTATGACGTCTAGGTGATACAAGTGAGTAGTTTTGGGCACATGATAGACTTATAACCTCAAAATAGTTTAAATATAAGTTTTTATAAGCCTTTAAGACTTTCTAAGACTATTCAATACCAGCTTAACATTAAAGAATCCCAAAAGTCCAGAAACTAAGTCCTACAAGAGCTTTAAACTCTACATAACCCCATTAAACATTACACATCACAATTGAACGACACCAAACCCTCAAAAATTAACATCCTCAAAAAATAAACAACCTCAAGTATTCATGTATCATTTAACTGACTTTTTAACACCCCAACATGGACATAAGAAATTTTCGCAACATTTATTTTGAGGTGTTATTTTTCATAGTTAATGATTTTTTTGCACAATTATATTTATTGTACTTAGCATGAATTCGCGAACACTTGTTCAAATAAAAATTGAAGATCGTAATGTGAAGATTATGTACTCAAACTTTTTCATGGTGTTTACTTTATGATGCAAATGTTGAAGTTTGCTTTTAAAATTATCGCAATGTTGGCTGGAAATTGAGGGGTCGTTTACTTATGACGTCCAAAATTAATAGTCATTCTTCAAAAAAGAACAATGGATTCTATTGTTCTCTTCTTGCTGCAACCCCCCCCCCCCTCCCCCCTGAACGTCATAAGTGAACGGCCTCTAATATTTATTATTGAAGTGAGAGATGTAAAGTTTACTGGAAATATGACTCAATTTGGGAACTTAAAAATAACATGAAATAATTTTTAAATTTTAAAATATTTCAGAATTATGAAAAAACTCGTAAAACAAATCAAAAATTCTTCAAATTCATTAAATTTTCCAATAATAAATTTTAAATTTTCCACTCCAATTGCACATTAATATCGCACATTTTTCATTATTCCACAACATTTATAGAACCTCAAGCACAATACGATTCATGCACGACAAGAAAAACACAGAAAGTAAAGCAACAAAAAAAAAACATAAAAAGAAATTTACTTAGAATGAAAATTAATGACTCAATCTATCAACTGACATCGAATGCAATTTATATTCCTCATTATAATGAAAAATTCTATCTTCGAGTGCCTTTGAAGTGCTATCGTTTACCATCATTACTATTATTACTATTATTTTTATCCATACGAGAATATAATAGTCAGCTCATAATGATGCACACTCGAGAAGTTGTGCAAGTTGTGCAAACAACAAAAGCTGCCGGTTTCGTTGAGTAAATTGAGAAATCAACGAAAAAAAAAAACATAGTTGAAAGAAGAATAAAAAGAAGTATTTTAATTTATCATTTATGATACAAACGAAACGTAGAGTCCCTCCGCGTATAAATAAAAAAAAAACTGTAGCTATAATAATGTTTATTTATGTATATCGATAAAACTTGATACTTTTTTCTCGTTTTTCTTTTTAAAAAGCATTAAGCCGCACTGAAAATTTTAGCAATTGGTGATAGTAAAAGGGTTTTGGTGATAATTTCGTGACGGAATGGCTTTAATGTTACCTTTTTCTTAGTAGTTGCACACGTTTCTTCATTATTCATGAATATATACCAAAACCTAATTGTTTTAGGAATCAAATTCCATCTAAAGTAGAATTCTGATAGGAATCGAAACCATGTCATTAGTGGTTTTACTTATTCTTGCTTTGCTGCTTAGTCAATCGGCACATAGAGGCTTTATTCTAAAGATGGCGAATTCTCTGATATATGATTGGACTAGCATCATGGCATAGCTAGTTGAAGGTTCAATGGAGTCTTGACAATTCCTTCAAAACTGAATTCTGTTTGGAAAAGAACTTGGAATCCTTATAAAGATTTAAAATGAATAAAGAAAAATTTCCGATTTTTTAGATGGAAAGAGATCACGTGGAAGGCCAAAGAACTCATGGAAAGAGACAGTCTTGCATTTGGAATCGGCAATTGGCAGACGGTAGCCAGCGATAGAGCTAGTTTTAGGGGACAACTAAGTGATGTCATGGATCACAATTGATCTATATGACCAGCGAAGTAAGAAAAACTCATCCCCCCCCCCCCCCCCTGTTCAAGGAGTCGATCCCCTCCCACGAATAATTTCTAACCACATTCATGATTAAAACTTATCAATCCCTAGAAATCTGCGTTTTATCCATTTATCGCACAACATCAAACTTGTATCAACCAATTTTTATTTTCACAGACATCGAAACTATATTTATTTGATCGACTAAAGTTACAATACCTGTCGTCTACATGAAACCCAACAATAAATAATAAAAAAAAGTTTTTTCCTCTATTCGACACTTACCATTTTAACTGTTGTCTGCTGCGGCATGAGAGTGTAATTTAATCCCATATATTTTATATATTTTTTTCTTAAAAAAAGTTGTATTTTCAACACAAATATTGATTGAATGTTCAGCTTCAATTGATTCCCTTCCTATTTGTCAATTGCTGTATTCTTTTGTGTGGTGTGATTGCTCAGCAACCACACTTGATTTATTCTTACTATTATTATTTCTTTATGTTTGTGCCTTAGCAAATTTCACTTTGTTGAACTTCATTGAACTTGGCCATGTACATCATCATCATCATCATCATCTTCATCCTCACAGGGCTATAATTTGCGAATATAATTTACAATTAATCATTTCAACATCTAGTGCCCGAGAGTGAGATTCGTAGAAAAAAAATTGGAATTGATGTTTATTTTAACCCGCATCTAAAATGTGCCTCGATTGATCAATAAACGAAACATTTGGACTCTTAATGATCTCGTCGTATCAACAGATGTAAAAGCATAAAAGTCTCTGAATTTGTGTAATAATTTTTCAAAGCTTTATGCAGAGCAATAAGTCGGTGAACATTTCTTCTTATTTTTCACTTGAATTTCGTCTTTTTGGCATCTACAGCATCTGGAAAAAGAAAGTGAAAAAAAAATGAATAAGTAAAATATTATGTAAGTCTCAATATATCAGTGCTTCACATATGTACTCGATATGCTGAAAATATTTACATGAATTTATGCGATCATAACTCTTTTTTGTGCTTTAAATTGCTCTTTACATTATTCTGTCGATTTTTTTTTTTCATATTTTCGGTTTCGTTATTGATGTTGCTTTATATTATGTAAGTTTACGAATGAGAGAGAAATAAGAGCATAATTGAATTGGTATTGAACAGCAACAACAACAACAACATAAATAAAATCTTCAATTTAAAATGCAGCTGTGGGTGAGAAATTGGTGATTTTTTGGGATGTGATAAAGGAAATTGGATGTTTAATGGGTTTAAACGTTTATGAGGCTCCAAGAGCATATCTTTAGTAGATAGGCTTGAGCATAGGGCTCGCGTTGGAACTGGTTGTGTGTGTATGACGGATAGCAGAAGTGAGATAAGTCCCTCGATGGCCGAGTGGCAGGGATTTTTGATCGAGTGTTCAAAGATCGCCTCTTTTGATCTCGTGCGTTCGATTCCCACACATTTGGCAATTATAGGGAGATCTACTCGCAAGTGTAAATGTTTGGTGCTTCTCAAAGTAGAGTTGCTTACAGTTGTGTTCTGTTCCATAGTCTAGAGTATGACATAAAGCCATAGCCCATCGCATTCCAACTAAACCATCAAAACATACTTTTTTTGCATCAATTAACCAACACAAAATTTCCCGTTACAATCTCACATTTATTTCTTCCTAGAAAGACCACCGATACATCAAACATTGACTGTCAGATCGGCTTATGTACCTCAAACTTTCCTGTCAGAATGAATCTAAAAACCTCAAGATAACAAAAAACCGCTCAATTGTATAAATATTTTTTTTCCATCACAAACATTTAAAGTTCCACAAGACGACCGTTAAGCCACAATAAATATTGTCTGCCTCATAAAAGCTTGCGGATTTACAAAATAATCTCATTATGCTCAAGTGCCGCGTAGACGCCCTTAAAAGGTGGAGTAAAATGACAATTTATCAGCAAATAAATTTGCATATTTTTGAAATTTAATTTCCGCATTTACTAACTTCATTACAGATTAAGGCAATAAATATCGTCGTAAAGCAAATTGACATGTCATGACACTTATTTTAATGAAGTTTATGGCTAGAATGAGTAAAATTAATTATGTGGCTTGAGTGAGTGAGAAACTGGACAAAGGTTTATCTAGAAATTTTAATTGATGCTCTTAATGTGTTTGACATTAAAGAATATAATTGTTGAAGTTATGAGTACGGATGCAAAGGTTTAAGTTGATGATTTTGTCATTATGTTGTAAGCAGTTAAAAATTAAATCACTTACATTTGATGACTATTTAAAGGTTCGAATCCTACAGAAAATAATAAATTGTTTGAAAACTAAACTGTGCTTATCTTTTTTTTGTGGAATTTTTTAAGCTACAAAAAATAAATAAAAATTATTCACAATCTACTGCTACTTCCAACAAACCCAATTCTTTTTTCCACATCCAATCAGCAATCTCCTTCACCTCTTAATTGCCCACCATGAATTAATTTGCTCATAGCTTCTTGAATCTTCATCAACTCGACTTACATCAAAACAATTAATTAACAGAACTTCCAACTGTTTCCTATCCACAAAATAACAAATTTCCCATCACAAGAATCAATTCTCATCGATTCTAAGCCAAAATAGTAACCGACCAGAGTCAACTTACTTTAATGAACTTTCCACAGAGCGTATAATTGTGAGGAACATCGGAAGATATTCAATTTAATGCCTGAATGGAATCAACCGTTTTTCCCTTGTGCCTTTATTATGGGTGCCTCAATCACTGACGATCTCTAAGAATATTACAGCTACTTTTCAGAAACAAAAAGGTCTTAGAAATAGAATTAAGAGACATAGTCGGAGGAGATATAAATTCTTGAAAATTAATTGAAAATTGCACAATTGTCGATTTCAATTAATTTTTTCGTTCCTTTTGGACTTACGTTCGTCCAAAACGATTCTAACAAGTTGCTGTTTAAAGGCATGGATAGTGAAAAGTGGATTTAGAGTTAGATGTGGTATTTGTTGGGCACTAATGGTTTGAGAGCATTTTTAAACTAAGGTTTGATTTTGTAACGGTTTTTTTAAATTTGAGTTTTAACGACTTTTTAAAATTTGAAATTTTAACGGATTTTTGAAATTTAAATTCTTAACGACTTTTCAAAATTCAAATTTTCAACAATCTTTTATAAATTTTAATTTTTATTGGCTTATAAAATTCATTATTTTAACTGCTTTTTAAATATCAAATTTTGAACGGCTTTTTAAATTAAATTTTCTAACGACATTTTAAAACTCGAACTAAGAAGTTAAATAATTTAAAAAAAAAACATTATTTTCCAATTTATAAAGTTTGATTACACAAATCAATTAATTGTTCAATAGCACAGCATCAATTCAAGCTTATTCTCACAACATACCCAAACCAGTCACATAACTCTAAAAATCAAGCTAAAATCTCAATTAGTGTAGGAGTCATGGACGAAAGGAGGCAATGTGATCGATGCTCTCAATAGATTATACAATATATTTTTTTTCTACGTCCACCGCTTTACGTTTTAGATTTTATTTTTCAATGTGCCGAGGCTGTTTTATTGTTGCTGTGGCTGCTGTTTTAACTTACGAATATATTTTTAGATTTATTGATTGATTTTTTTTCTATATGGCAATTGGCGATTTTAAGTTTGTTGATTTTTTACCTTTATAATTTTCTTTCAAGAGATTAAGGCATGAGCCAACAAAATGGGATGGATGGAAGGAAATAAGACAGATATTTATTGCTACTTGATTCAACTGCAATTACGCGAAGTGAATAAGATTTTTTTATATTATTTATTTTTATTATTTTCTACGACAAGATAAGATTAGATGGGAGAGATTGATGCTTTTAGTTGTTGTTATTTATTGCTGGAATGAGCTAGTGATGTTGGAATGTAATGGTCTTTTAGGATTGGAGAACTGTAAGAATTTTGTGGTGAGTAAAATCATGGTTGTGGTAAAAATGGTGAGATTTTAGGTAAAAATCTGAGGTTTTGGTGGGAGTGGTAAATTTTGTGGTGAAAATGGTTAAATTTGTGGTGTAAGTGGTAAGTTTTGTGGTGTAACGGTGACTTTTGTGGTGAGTTTAATAATTCTTGTGGTGAAAATGGTGAGATTTTAAGTAAAATTCTGAGTTTTTCTTGAAAGTGGTGAGTTTTTTGATGAAAATAATGAATTTTGTGGTGAAAATGGTGAGTTTTGTGGTGAAATTGATGATTTGTTGGCTAAGTTATGATTTTAATGGTAAAGTGATAAGATTAGTGGTAAAAATGGTGAGTTTTATGGTTTAAGAGGTGAGTTTTGTGGTGAAAATCACAAAACCATGGTGAAACTTTACAAATTTATGACAAAAACCATAAAATTGTGATTAAATTCTCCACAACATAACCTCAATCAAACCTTCATCTTCACAATTCTCTCCGCTTAACTAGCGCAATTTTTATTATGTGAGATAACTCATGGCTTATTTTCTTATCATCTGGATCAGGCAGAATCTTATTATTGAGATAATAATGCAGCGTAGTTCCTTTAATCTTTGATAAATTGCTTCTTTGTGCAGAATAAAAAAAATGTTTCTTGATTTGCCTTTTCTTCTTTCTCCTGCATTTAAGTCTTACGTATGTACTATAATTTTTAAAAAGTAATTTACTGAACTTTAATTTATTTATTTAATCAAAATTTAATGCCGGCTGAGGGTTACTGGGAGTCGATGTGGGTTGAAGGACATGAGTCTAAGTTCCAATTGAGTTACAGCAGTATAGTAGGGTCATGTGAAATGATGCTATTGGGGCATATCAAACTGAAGGGGGGTACCCAGAAAGTATAAAATTCACCTCAAAAACCTCAATATTATAAAATCCACAAATCCATTTAGTCATGCCAATCAAACTTACCTCCTAACCTCAAAACTAAAAATTAAAAATATTACGGAATCTAATCCACAAATTTATTACCAATTAAAATTTTAAATCCCATTTCAGTCCATATATAAATGCACCAAAAAAATCACAAAACCGTAGCAAAAATCCCCACGAAATTTCCATTCAGAAATGCTTCCGAAATAAGCACACAATTTAAAACGTGACTTTAGCAACCTGCAAAGTTTGCAAACTCGTTTTTTTCTGTGAATTGCGTGCTGATTTATTTTAAAATTTCAGTGTTTCGTGTATGAAACGAGACTGATAGATGAAAATATCAAGGTAGTGAATTGATATTTGAGTGCTGTGGAATGCAATTAAGAAACTTTTGTGCAAAAATGTGGCCTGAGTAGCCTGAGTAGCCGAATGGATATAAAAAATTATTAATCTTGTCTATAAAAATCAATCAAACTTTATGTGAGGCTCCAAACTTAATGCCAATGTTAGCAAAGAGAACAGAGTCCGTTACAAACAAAAAAATTTCAAAATTTTCGTGCGGTATTTTTTTAAAATTTCAAAATAAGAAAGTCCGTTGCTCTTTAATTTTTTTTAAACTAGCTGTTTTTTAAAGCATAAACATTTAAGGAATGCAATTTCATCACAGTGATTATCTTAATCATAAAAACTAGTAGGAATGTTCACTAAAATTACAAATTACTCGAAAAATAATAATTCACAACGAATTTTTTTAAAAATAAGAACTTCGAAGATTCGATTTTCGAAAAATAAGAACCTCAAAAATTCGAAGTTCGAATAATAAGAACTCAAAAATTTCTGTTTGCTAGCATTGGACTTAATGCAAGTCTGAATGAACAATAGGTTCATTTACATACAGGTAAACTGATACGGTCGATAGTGATTGTGACTTGCAATTCTTGATTTTTGAGAGTTTTGGAAGTTTTGTGTGTTGTTAAGGTGATAGGATTTGAACTTTGGAGGGTTAAAGTTTGAGA